TGAACCCAGCGGTTAGGGGCAGTTAGTTAGGGGTTCTGAGGCAGGTGCAGGCGCACCGAGGTCACATTGGACGCCAGAGGGAACTAACTGGTGGGCGCTCAGAGTGGAAAGCCCGGAAGAGGACGAGTTCAGGACAGCGGGATCCAGGAGTACGGACGCTGCCTTGGGGGGGCTGCCACTGTCCCTGCCCTGTTCCTGTCGGTGCTGCTTGTCCCTGCCACCCCAGGGGAAGGGGAGGCATCCAGAACGAGAGGCTGCCCCTCTCCTGCCTGCTTTCTCCCCAGTGAGTTCTTTAACACCTTGCTTCCTCTGCAGGGAGAGGTGACTAAGGGTGGTGATGGTGTGATCAGGGGTGTCCCAGACTCAGGAAGGGAGTAAGCCCAGACTGGGGGTTGGGCTGAGCACCATGCCACACACTTTGAGCAAAGGAAGCTAGACAGTGGAGTTGAAGGTCAGAGCCATCCTGTTGGAGTAATTAGGTGTCACTTTTTAAAAAATGGCCTCTGACTTTTATCTTAGAGCATGCCCCCCCCAAAAAAAGTCTGTACAAATATCTCATGGAATGTTCCAGAAAGTTCCAAGTCTGGAGAAGTCATGTCTGACACTTCTGCAGATGCTGTTTTGAGAAAGCCGGGTTGGGGGGCGGGGCGTCAGGGCTGTGACACCTCTTCCTGGAATGGTCCTTCAGGTGCTGCGGGCCCTGGAAAGTACCAAGTGACTAGACTTGATGTTTGGTTCCAGGGGCAGCTCCTTTTGCCCACTGCCTCACTCTCTCCATCTGTGACTTGGGGATCCCTGTGCCTGTAGGGATATCCTGAGGTGTTGTGGAGCTTGTATAGACTGCAATTTGGTGCCTTGCCTGGTCAAGTCCTTATGGGAGTTTCGGGTACCTCATCTTTCTGTCATGTCTGCCCGGGTGTGGTGTGGGTTCTCAGAGTCCCGAGCAGTGGCTACTGTCTTCCATGGCTCTGGCTGTGGCTGCTGCTGGGGGAGACCGAGGTGGCTGGTAGCTCTGTTGGAGGGGGCGGTCCCTTTGGGCATAGGGTAGTGTACCACAGCCTTCATCCTGCTGTGCTATGGCCAGTGGTTACTCTAGAGTGAGACGTCTCCTGTGCCTGGATCAGGGGACAGGGACAAAGGGTATTTTAGGGCAGTGCTGGCTGCCTCTCTGGTCTGTGTCTCACTGAATCTGGCAGGCACTGGCCACTAATATGGTCCCGTGGCTTACATTTGGCTCTGTGGTGGCTCCCTTGTACCCAGTGCTGGGGTGGGGGGTGGGGCAGGGAGAGAAGGCCGTAACACTGGCCACTGAAAGCCTGAATTGTGGTGTTGAGTTGAGTCATGAGATGTGATCTTTGGCTAGAGGGTCTTGGTGGACCACCGTGGATCTGGATCGAGAAGGACACGGACCCAGTGTAAACAAGGAGATTCTGTGGGCTGGAGGCATTAGGTGGCTGATGCTGCCTAGGCTGAGGGACACAGGACACCAGCAGCTAAGGGGAACGAGGGCCCTATGCACCTCGGCTTTGAACTTCTGGCCTTTGGAATGAGGGGAACAGACTGCTCCTTTAGTTCCCACCCCACACCTCCCGCCAGTAGCTGGTCACCTGCCACTCTGCAGGCGAGAGTCCATATGGGTTTTAGGTCTGATTGCTGCCGTATGCAGTGTTCCTTACACACTGTAGGGCTCAATACATGTTTCTGGAATATCCAGCAGCTCCAGGTCTGGGCCTTCAGAGTTGGAGGCACCTTGCAGAGGTTCAGACCTCTGTCCTGCTTTGGCGTGAGTCACTCCACACCGTCTCTTACTTGGTTTGCATTCAGGCAGATTCATGAGATGAACCTCTGTTGCTGTGTTCAGACCAGGTTTTACTGTGTATCTGAAACAGGCCTGGAACTTACTCTGTAGTTCAGATGGCCTGAACTCAAAGCAGTCCTCCTGCCTCAGCCTCCCCAGGGCTGAGATTGTGCTTGCTGACATGTTTGGTGAGATTAACCTTCAATTTTTTTTCCTTCTTTGAGATACGGTCTGATTTTGTATCCCAGGCTGGCCTCAAAGTTGTGGAATTCTCCTGCCTCAGCCTTTTCTAACTCGGATTACAGCATGTACCACCATACCTAGTGAGTTGAACCTTTGTTTGTATTTATTTTTCCTTTTTGAGACATGGTTTCTCTTTGTTGCCCTGGCTGTCCTGGAACTCACCTGGTAGACCAGGCTGGCCTCTAACTCGGAGATCCGTCTGTCTCTGTTTACAGAGGGCTGGGATTAAAGTGTGCACCACCACTGGCTTGAGATGAATCATTTTCAGTGGGTGATCAGTGTGTCAGTTCTAAGCACCCAGAATTGTGCCTTGGCTATCTCTGTCTTGTTACAAACTGTTTTGTGACCCTAGAGGGAGAGACCCTGTGCCCTGTAGGGTTCCATAGCCTTCAGCCCCAGGTTTTGTGACTAGTCTGTCCCCGGGTAGACTCTCAGATGGGATTTTGTGTGTTCTGTCTCCTGACTTTGGCACACTCTCCTCTGAGGTTCCTGCGTGCTACAGTGCCAAGTCTTCATTCCTTTCCACTGTGTGATTATACTCCATTGTATGGAGATGTAGCCATAGAGAGTCTTTGCAGATGGGGAAACCAAGGCTAGCGTGGTCACTGCAGAGAAGGAGGTGGCAGCACTTTGGAGCTTTCTCCTGCTCATTGCCTCTGCCCAACCAGCAAGCAGCTTGCTTGGATGAGTAAGCTGTATGTTGAGCTGGCCGTGATGACCTGAGGTCCCAGATCTTCCCACTGTTGCTCTTGGCTGGCCCTGTCACAAGCCACAGGCAGTTGCCCTGTGGGGCAATGGAGCACACATGTCCAGTCTCCTCTTTGGTTCTTGCTGACTTGAATCGACCACCTTCACCAACTTTTCCCACATGTGAAGCTGCACTGAGCAGCCAGGTTGCCTGGAACGGCGTGTTGTAGATGTTGGCTGGTGGCGCTACCAGCCCAGGATGGTGGTGCCTTTGCCTTTGCCTAGCAGACCGCATGCTGCTTTACTGTGACCCTGAGCTTGGTTTTGGCAATTAATGCTGCCTGGAAGGCTCTGCCTGTAGTTGCTTCTGGTTTTTGATGATTCGTTGTCATTAAGTCACTTAACAAACACGGAGCAGCGGGCATGACCGAGGAAGGGACATGGTCAGACTGTGAGCCTAACCTCACCGTGATACAGCCCAGGGGGTTTGAAAGTACTTGTAGGCTTCGGGGCAGCCTTTGTGGAAGGCAGGGTTCTCTGGCAGCCTGTACTGGAACAGACACAGGACAGAAAATGAGGGGCACCCGTGGCCCAGCTGCTGGCCTACACAGCTAGCTTCCTAGTAGCATTTAGATGGCATGGCTGTGGTCTGGTTCAGCCTCCTGGTGCCACAGTGAGTGTCAGGGACAGGAAGGCAGTGGCTTGTATCCTAGCCGAAAAGATGGCCTTTGTTTAATGCCTCAGTTTCTCCTACCTGTAAAAGATGGCTGAAGGGTGGGCATCCCACCTTTGCTGGGGAGGGTAGGATATCTAAGAAGCCTCTGAATGTCCTCCTTGGGGCTGGCAGGAGGGATGGCAGGATCTTTTGGCCTGCAAGGGCGTGGATGTCTCCTCGCTGTTTTCCCTGTGACTGTGGGTCTCTTCATGACCTCAGTGGTCATGGGCTTTTGCTCTGTGTCAATCTGCTTTAGTCCTGAAGCTGACTGGAGGCTTCTTGCTGACTGTGGCATTGCTGGTTCAAGCCCCGGGGTAGTCTCTGGGATTGCTCTCTTTGGGCCGCATAGCTTCCTCCTGGACTCACAGTGTGCCCACTTTCGGTCATGCTGTGGGGATGGATGGCCGTGTCCCGGGCTCCCTGCTTGGTGTGGTTGTTGTTAGCTGCTAGACACAGCGTTGCTGGTCATTTTGAGTGGCTCCTGGCATGATGGGGGATGGCGGGAGTGTGACTGCACATCTTTCCCCCTCCTCCCCTCCTCCCCTTCTCCTCCCCTCCTCCTCTCCTCCTCTCCTCCCCTCCTCCCCTCCTCTCCTCCCCCTCCTCCTGGCCCCTCCTTGGCCTCATCTTTTCATTTTTCTTTCTTGTTCCCATTCTGGCTCCACATTTGGCGTAGCTACAGGCTGTCTGCATGGCCTTTGGGGGTACACTTTGTTGATATGACTCCTGGGTGCTGGGACCAAGGAAGGGGAGTAGAAGCCATGAGACCCTGAGACTTTCCCTAACAATGGCTCTCAACTACCTGGTCTCCACCCCTGGGGTTGTCAAATGGCCCTTTCATAGGGGTCACCTAAGACCACAGGAAAACACAGATATTTACATTAAGATTCGTAACAATAACAATGTTACAGTTGTGAGGTAGCAATGAAAACAATTTTATGGTGGGGGGCGTCACCACAGCATGAGGAATTATATTAAAGGGGAGACATTAGGGATGCTGAGAACCGCTCGCTGCTCTAACTAACCCTCATCGCTGCTGCCCAGAGCTCACAGCTGCAGAGCCAGCCTGCCCTGAGAAGATGCACAGCCCACACCCAAAGGAGGTCGGGCTTGAGGTGAGTCACCCAGAAAGTCACGGCCAGTGCTGACGCCTGCCTGAGCATCCGGCCATCTCCTTTGGCCTCTGTGTGCGTTTGGCTTTCTGGGCCTGTCACCAAGATGACCCGGGCCCTGAGCCCCGGGCCCTGTTTCCTTTAGTTGAGGTCGGAAGGACGGGGAGCGTTTTCCTCTGGCCATCTGGCCTTGCAGGACTGGAGGATGTCAGGGCTGGCTGGGAGGAAATGGTTAAAGGAGGGGACGTGGCTGGCGCTGGTCCCCCTGCCAGCAGCAAGGAGGGAGAGGGCTTCTCGAAGCTATAAAAAGGCCTCGCAGTGTTGAGCCCCAATGGCTGGAAGCTCGCCAGGGTTACCATGGCGATGAGGAATTAGTCCCGACTGCCAAGGCTGCTAGCAGCTCGGTACTTTTGGCTCTGGAACAAGAGTGGACTTATGTAATTCCGTGTTTATAGGCCTGGGTGGCGGACGCAGAGCTGGGCCTGTGTCTCGGTGGCGGCCCACAGTGGGTCACACCACTCCACAGGGTATCCCTGACACGCCTCCAGTGCCCTGATTTTGGTTGGGGGGCATTAGGACAGAAGCTTAGGGGCCTGGCGGACTGCTAGTCCCTGTCGGGGCCTCCCCAGCCGGAGTGGGAGCCCAAGTCTCGCGGGAAGGGGTGCGGCCACCGTGTGTGGCCGCCCCTTGCCCGCTTGGTCTGGAGGGAGGATGGCCTTGTCGCTGGCCAAGAGCTGGCCCCTAGAAGCCTGTGGGCCAGGCCTTGGGTACAGGACATGCTGACCTGGTCTGGCACGCTGCCCGTCGTCCCTTGCTGCATGGGAGAATTTCTGCAAGTTGTGTGGAGCCCACTCAGGCTGTCGCCTGGCCATGCACTGGTAAGAGAAGTCTGGCTTGGTGGTGGTGGTGGCAGCGGCGCATTCCCAGACTTGGGGATGGTACCACAGACCAGATGGCTGTATGTGGTCAGGGGGTACAGCCCTGGGACCACTAGAGTTGCCTGCAAGGTGCCTCAACTCTCTCTCTGCTTGGGATATGGTGGCCCTAGTTCCTATGGGCTCCTGTCAGCCAGCTGGGTGCATGGGAAGGCCCCTGGCAGGGTGGACATGTGTCTCAGGGACCAGTACGTGGGACTGTAGGTTATCTTATCGGGAAAAGTTGTGGGATGTCCGGTAGAGGCACTGGGTAGTGACCGGTGGCCCTGGGAGGGGATGTGTGGCACTGTGCTCCCTTTTGGAGCCTGCCTTGAGCACGCCTACCTGGTGTGCGGTGGAAAAGTTGGAGAGTGTAGGTTGGGATGTGGGACAGGGACGCATTTAATGACTGTAGACTGTATGGGACCAGGGCCTGGGGACCTGGGGGCTTGGGCTAGGAGGAGCCAGGTGCAGGCAGCATGGGCCCAGCCTGCCTCCCCACTGAAGTGGAGCTTGGCTCAGTGCCCTGTCTGGTTTGAAATGAGGGCCACCGGCCCAGGCTTGCCCAGGGCCTTGGCAGCAAGAGAGGGGTAAACATTGGAAAGTTGGAAAGGCTTCCTGAGCTCACAGCAGCCTGCGGCAGCAAGCCCAGGGCAGGGGAAGGATTTCTCCAGGTCTGGCACTAGGGTTGGTGGGGGCAGCTTCTGGGGACCTCCAAATGCAGGCTGGTGCGGGGCCTTCAGAAGGCTCATTTGCCTCAGACCCTGGTTGTCATTCAATTCCTTTTCCTATTGTGTGGCTTTCAGTGTGCCATCTTACTGTTTTCCTGAGTGCAGAATGATGTGACGGGGCCTTATGGGTGTGGGGCAATGGGAGGAGGAATAGTACCTTTAGGGTAGGCTCTGGGGAGGACTCTAGTTAGATGACCCTGGCAAGCCACTTCTTGTCTTAGAGTCTTAGTTTTCCCATCTGGCAAGTGGGTCCTTTTCAAGTCATGTGGTTTAAAGGATTTGAGGAATGGGTCTTTGGTTCAAACAGGGTTTGCAGTCAGTGTTAGGATTTGTGGTTGGTGGTAAGGAGGATGATGACAGTGGTAGCCTTACCTGGACCAAGGGTGGTGCGTGCCATCTTGAAGTAGCAGTATGAAGTAACAGGATCAGACTGAGGTTCAAGATGTAGCTTGAGCCTTGGAGGACACGTGGCCGTGGTTGAGCCCTGGAACCCCCCCAGCCTTCAGGTGTACCTTGTGGGAGCAATGGGAGCCCCATTGGGGCAGCAGTACTGGGTAGAATCAAGGGGAAGACCCTTATGTGTTCTCCCCATGTTCCCCTTGCTCTGCCGAGACTTGAACCCTGGGATGGGGCAGATCTCCATCTGACCTCCCCTGCAAGCCCGTTATCCTATTTCCCCTTGAGCCTGGGTCCTTGACACTGCCCAGTGTGGCCTGGGGGTTGGGTCAGGGTGGGAGGACCAGTGTTCCTATTGAATGAGGGTGGCAATGGTTCTGTGTTTGTAAATGACACCGGATGCGGCCGATGCTGGCTCAGGGACTCCCTTGTCTGGCCAGCGGCAGTCAGCTGGGAGTTCCTCTCTTGTCTAGGCTACCATGCCAGCTGCCCAGTGTCCCCAGGTCCTCAGGAAGGGCCTTATTGCTCTGTGTCTGCTTGGGAGAGTGCTAGCTGAGTGGAGGCCACCTCTGTTCTGTCCTGTGGGGTGCAGTGATGATGTCCCTGCCCCTGAGAAGCCTGCATGGAAGCCCAGAGCAAAGTTGGTTATGGTATGGAGGGGCTGTGTTAGCTGGTGGCTACTGAGCCTTCAGCGTAAGAAGAGTACACATACATGCACATACAACTCAAATGCGTGTATGCGTATATGCATACATCCTCATGTTGACAGCAAGTATTTGACGGCATGACTGAGACTGGTTGGCTCAATGTCCTTTCCCTGGTTCTGACCCTAGTAAAGTGAACTCTTGTGATTCAAGCACATGCCATTGGGGGCATTTCTGGGAAGGGCACACGAGATCATGGCTTACAGTGGCTCCTCTAAGGGCAGCTTGCAAGTCTCCATGTACCTTGAAACAAATGTGAAGGAAGGACCATGGCTCTCAGGACCAGGCTGTAGTGCGTTTGTGCCCTGATCTGCTTTGTAGGCTGGCTGATATGATTCAGCCCTCAGAGCTCTGGTTTCCTTATCTGAAGGATGGGGTGAGAGGTCAGCACTTTGACAGGCTTATGTGACCATTAGGTCACAGTCACCCGAACTGAGTGCTTGTCAGAAAGATTTTATTAAGCTAGGTGGTGGTGCACTCGGGAGACAGCGGCAGGCGGATCTCTGTGAGTTCTGAGGTCAACCTGGTCTGCAGAGCAAATTCCAGGACAGCCAGGCTTACCTAGAGAAACCCTGTCTCCTGAAAAACAGCAACAGAAAAGTTTTTATTACATCATTTTTGGGTGCGTTGGCTCTCTACTTCCACAATAGTCGTCCTGGGAATGGACCTCAGGTGGACAGGCTTGGCTGCATAAGCCCTACCTGCTCAGCCTTCTTGCTGGCTGTAAGACAGCCTACTTGTCATCAGGTAGCGTGGAGGGCTACTATGGTCCACTTGTTTATCAGTGTGATGGCCTTGCTCCAAGGTAAGCATGGTCATGTGGTCCGCCTTCCATCATCATTGCTGTGATTTCCTGGTTTGTCTGTGTTTTAGTGGTGTGATCATTCTTGTTCTCTGTAGTTGGCCTGCTCACCATGGTTTGTTTGTTCTGTCATTGGTGTAATCTATATAGTTCGTCTGCTTTATTGTTGGTGTGATCACCATAATTTGCCTGCTCCGTTGTTGTGGTCTGTGGTTTGCATGCTCTGTCATTGGCGTGGTCTCCATAGTTCATGTGCCCTATGGCTGGCATGGTCTTTGTGGTTTGCATGCTCTGTCACTGGCGTGGCCTCTGTGGTACTCCTGCTCTATTGTTGGCACGGTCTCCGTGACTTGTCAGCTCTGTTGTTGGCGTGGTCTCCGTGAGTCTGCTCTGTCAATGGCCTCTATGGTTCTCCTGCTCTGTTGTTGGCGTGTTCTCTGTGTTGTTGATGTGGTCTCCGTGATTCTGCTTTGTTGTTGGCATGGTCTCTAGTTTGCCTGCTCTGTCATTGACGTGGTCTCCGTGGTTCATCTGCGCTGTCATTGGCATGGTCTCTGTGGCTTGCCAGCTCTGTTGTTGGCGTGGTCTCCATGGTTCTCCTGTACTGTTTTTGGTATGGTCTCCATAATTCGCCAGCTCTGTCATTGCTGTGGTCTCTGTGGTACGTCTGCTCTGTTGTTGGCGAGGTCTCCATGGTTCTCCTGCTCTGTCATTGTCATGGTCTCCATGATTCTGCACTGTCCTTGGCATGGTCTCTGTGGTTTGCCAGCTCTGTCAACGACAAGGTCTCTGTGTCTCTCCTGCTCTGAGGTTGATGTGGTCTCCGTGGTTCTCCTGTTGTGCTGTTGGGATGGTCTCTGTGTCTCTCCTGTTGTGCTGTTGGGATGGTCTCTGTGTCTCTCCTGATCTGCTGTTGGGATGGTCTCTATGGCTCTCCTGATCTGCTGTTGGGATGGTCTCTGTGTCTCTCCTGATCTGCTGTTGGGATGGTCTCTGTGTCTCTCCTGATCTGCTGTTGGGATGGTCTCTATGGCTCTCCTGATCTGCTGTTGGGATGGTCTCTATGGCTCTCCTGATCTGCTGTTGGGATGGTCTCTGTGTCTCTCCTGATCTGCTGTTGGGATGGTCTCTGTGTCTCTCCTGATCTGCTGTTGGGATGGTCTCTGTGTCTCTCCTGATCTGCTGTTGGGATGGTCTCTATGGCTCTCCTGATCTGCTGTTGGGATGGTCTCTATGGCTCTCCTGATCTGCTGTTGGGATGGTCTCTATGGCTCTCCTGATCTGCTGTTGGGATGGTCTCTGTGTCTCTCCTGATCTGCTGTTGGGATGGTCTCTGTGTCTCTCCTGATCTGCTGTTGGGATGGTCTCTGTGTCTCTCCTGATCTGCTGTTGGGATGGTCTCTGGCTTCTTTTGCTCTGTCCTTGGCATGGCCTACATGGTTTGCCAGCTGTGATGTTGGTATTATCTCCGTGGTTCTCTTGCGTTGTTGGCATGGTCACTGTGTTTCTCCTGCTTTGTTGGCACAGTCTTTATGGTATATCTGCTCTTTTTTTGGTATGGTCTCCATGGTTCGTCTTCTCTGTCGGCATGGTTGACCTTAGATGTGAGCTAAGGAACGTTGGGTCTAGGAAGAAACGCCTTCAGGGTCTGAGCTGTAGATGGAGCTTTTGTCCCGCCTGTTCCCAGTACTGTTTCCGTTTAGTCCCAAATAAACACACAGAGATAAACTGTTTGGCTGATGGCTCAGCTTCTTATTGGTTAGCCCTCTCTTAATTATTAACCCATTTCTATTAATCTCAGTATTTCCACGTGGTCTTGGCTTACTGGAGATTGCCCAGCATCCTATCTTCCTGGTAGCTATATGGCATCTGCCCGGCGACTCACTCACTGCCTTCCTCTTCCCAGCATTCTCCTAATCTGGTAGCCCTGCCTATATATACTTCCTCCCTGGCTACTGGCCAGCCAGCATTTCATTAACTCAGTAAGAGAAACATATTCACAGCTTATGGAAGGACATTCCCCCATCATTGAGCAGACCCACACATGGCCAACCCCTAGAGTGGGCATACTGTTGAGCTCAATCCCTCCATACCCCTATGGTTCTGTCTTAGGCAGAGTTTCTAGCACAGTAATAAATCACCGTGACCAAACACAACTTGGGGGGGGGGGGGAAAGTGTTGTTTGGCTCACATATCCACCAAGGGAGGTTGAAGCAGAGGCTGTGAAGGAACACTGTTTGCGGGTTTGCTCTAGATGGCTCACTCAGTCTGCTTTCATGTACAACTCAGGACAGCCTGCCCAGGGTTGGCAGCACCCACAGTGGGCTGGGC